GTATGGATTTTCAAATAGTAAAAAAAGTTACTATTGAGCTTAATTTTGAGGTGTAAGAATCAGGGTGACTATTCCTAGATTATCACTGAAGGATTTCTCTTCTTTATTGAATCTTGTATATTACAACGATTTTCAAATTCACAGTATATAATTCTTATATTTTGAGGTATAATGATTATATGTTAACATTCATCTATTTCTTTTTTAGACAGAAGCTTGGTAGTGTTCAACGAGATAGTGTGCTGGCCCAGTCCCTGCAAAGTGGCTTAGCGTTAGAGTTTGAACGTAGTGAATCCATTCGTAGAATCAGATTAGTGCTCAGCGAGATCTTATTCATAGCTTCTCAGATACAGGAATTGCAGAAGAATCAAGAGTTTCAGGTCAAACAATCAGATCTGTTCGACAATGCGGTTTACATGGAAGAGATAAGCTATGTCATCTGCATTGCTCTTGCCGAATTACCAACGTTGTTATCTATCTTGGACATAGCGGAGACGCTCCTGCATGTCAAACATGGCCCCGATATTATTTGTTGGATTGTCGCCAACAGTCCAGATAGTTTTTCGGAGGTGTGTGCGCATCTGATTGCCAACGGGGAACGACAGGAAGAATCTGCGTTAGGCAGAATTAGGACACAGGCAATCACAATGCTTTGTCAGATGAATCCGAGTCAAGCGCTGGCAATTAGAGCTAAATGCGTGGAGTTATGCCGAATGCCCGCTCTGGCTATCACTCTGAGCTTGGAGCATGAAAATGCAAATAGCTTACAGACCGAGAGCGATGTGGTTGCCTTTGTGTCTGGTTTGTTACTTGGTAGCGATCAGCAGGTACGCTCGTGGATCGCTATGTTCATTAGAAATGGACAGAAACGTAAGTGGGAATCACAGACGGCTCTGCAATCATTACGGGAGGAGCTGCTCAAACGACTGCAAACGATCGCGTCACAGAGCACGGACAGTCAATTAGCGGAGTCGCAAGTCGTGCAAGCGAGCGCGTTGCTCAGGCTCTATTGTGCTCTGCGAGGTATCGGTGGTATCAAGTTTCAAGATGATGAAGTTACAATGATCGTTCAGCTTCTGACGTCGCATCCACCGCCATCACCCGCTGGTGTTAGATTCGTGTCGCTCGGCTTGTGCATGTTGATAGCATGCCCTTCCCTGATCGGGCATCATAATCTAGAGAAACGCAGCATTGAGTGGGTGCAATGGCTGGTACGAGAAGAAGCTTATTTCGAAAGCGCAAGTGGCGTTACTGCCAGTTTTGGTGAAATGTTGTTGTTGATGGCGATACACTTTCATAGTAATCAATTATCAGCGATCTGCGAGCTGGTCTGTGCTACACTCGGGATGAAGATACCGATCAGGCCTAACAATCTCACGCGGATCAAGCAAATCTTCATGCAGGAGATTTTCACAGAACAGGTGGTCACTGCGCATGCCGTTAAAGTACCAGTTACAGCGAATTTAAACGCCAATATTCCCGGCTTCCTACCAGTGCATTGCATCCATCAGCTGCTGAAATCACGGGCGTTCGCGAAACACCGGGTACCCATCAAGAACTGGATATACCGGCAGATCTGTGCCAGTGTGCCACCGTTGCATCCAGTTTTACCGGCTCTGGTTGAGGTTTATGTGAATTCTATCCTGATGACGAACAACAAGACGTCCGAGCATACAAACAAGCCTATTACCGAGAACGAGATCTGTCGGGTGTTTCAGAACAGTGTGTTCGGGGCAAATTTCGACTTCAAGAAAAATCCCGTCAACACCATGCAGATAGACGCTGACAATATGGACATCGACACAACAAAACCTTCGCTCACCTCTCAGTTACTACTGCTCTATTACCTCCTGCTCTACGAGGACGTCAGATTGTCTAATATGCACACCTTCATGTCACAAGGCAGAAAAGTCAAGTCGTATTCTACAGAGTTTTTGTCTGAATTACCAATTAAATATTTATTGCAATTAGTCCAGCGGGATCAGATGAACTATGCCAGTTTGTTCTCACCACTTCTTCGGTTACTGGCTATACATTTTCCTCATCTGTCTCTGGTGGATGACTGGCTCGACGATGAGATGATTAACATGGATTCTGCCATTGCAAGCTACGAAAGCATGAAAATCAGCGATATTGTGATCGTTGAGGCATTCAGTCACGCCAAAACTTGTCCATCAAGGACCGGTAGATTATTGAGACAACTGATGACGTTGAAACCGACTGAAATCTGGCCTCATGCAGAGTTGATAATACATTATTTCAAGGACATTCTTGACGAGCAAGTTCCTAGATATATACAAGGTACATTGTCTTAATAATTACTTATTAATAAAAATTGACAAATTATATTAATGTTAATTAATTCGTATAAGAGGGATTTGCATATTATTAATGAAGAACACTCACAAGTAGATTTTTTAATTTCAGAGCTTTATAAACAAGTGTGGCTCAGACTCAATACTGTATTACCGCGTTGTCTATGGGTTCTTTCCATAAATGCGTTGCTAATAGAAAATTCAATAGTGAAAAATGTTTTTTTGACACAAGACAATATCGTATTAGATCCATTGCAAGTATTGAGATGTGATACGAGAGTTTTTAGATGCGCTCCGATTTTATCCGTAATCTTAAGGTAAGCTGAAAAAATTCTTTTAAATAAAGTAAAATCAACTTTTTAAAATTTTCATAAAAATAATATCAAATTTAACTGTTCGTAGGATTTTACAAGCTACATTAGCCGCGTCGCGATCTCAATTAGCCAGACATATGCTGGATAAGCCTCTGACTGAAAAAATCGGACAATTGACGAATGAAACAGAAAGAGAGGATTTGAGGATAGCCTTGGTGGCAGGTCAAGAAAGCGCAGCAGTACAGATTTTATTAGAAGCTTGTCTGGAGACAGAAGAAGACAAGAAAACCCCTGGACAAATGTGGTCCCTCCGGGAAATACGGAGTGTCGTATGCTCATACTTACATCAAGTATTCATAGCTGATCCGTCTTTGGCCAAATTAGTCCACTTTCAGGTATTCATAACAATAAACTACAAACAATATTTTACAAGAAAGTACATGGAAGTGTCCTTTTTTTTATTTTGATTAGGTTTTAATCTAAATTATGTTGTAATCTAAATAAAAAATAAGGGATACATATTTTTTTTATAGATGTCTATACTTATGCATTGTTATGTAATATTCCCTTTGAAGAAAATCGATTTTCTTTCAAAGCAAATATCGAAATTATAAAAAATAAACAAATATTTTGAAATAAACGCTAAATGATTTAAGGGTACTTTATAACATAAAAAAGTAGTGTTCCTTATTTTGGTTAGACAACATAAAAAAGTTCATCAAAATCGAAAGCGTTACTTTCTTGTGTTTCTTTGCTAGTAACACACATAAATTATATATAATAGATATTATATTTTATTTAATCTGTTTATTTTTTAATTAATCATCAATTGGAGATCAAATGCCTTTAATGATCTAGCTGGGTCTTAAGTGTTTATATATTTCTATGTGAATTTATATATTACGTATGTAGTTCTTCAAATTGCGCGCCAAAATGATTTTTCGGTTTTGAAATGCAAACTCCATTGAACTAGTACAGTAATATCATAATTAAATTAATTAGAATTTAACAATTCGATGCTAATAAGCATCTTAAACGATCTTATTAACACTGAGTAACATATTAAAATCTGTAAATAAATCGAAAAATCAATTCGGCGCGCAGTTTGAAGGATTAAATACCTAGTATATAAATTCACATAAAAGTATACAAGCACTTAAGACCCAGACTTAACTAGACTGTTAAAGGATTGATTTCACACTCACATTTGACTGTATCACTATTGATTGTACACTCACATGTATAGTCTTATAAGATTCTTAATTTAATCATCAATTATCCAAATATCATTAATTCTAATTAATTTTATGTATGATTCTCATGGTGAATATTTTTTTCTACAGGGTTATCCTCGAGAATTGCTCCCGATCACGGTTTCCGGAATACCATCTATGCATATATGCCTTGACTGGATACCAGAATTATTGTCGCAACCCGAATCAGAGAAACAAGTATTCGCCGTTGACTTGGCTTCACATCTGGCGATTCAGTATGCTCTGCCAAAAGCTTTAAGCGTTTCTCGATTAGCGATTAATACACTGATAACGCTTTTGGGCGTGTTATCTGCCGAGAATCGAGTTATTCTCTTTGTGCCAGTGTTATCGTCATTGACGCGGATATGCTTAGCTTTTCCTCCATTGGCAGAGGACATCACGGGATTGTTACTGCAGCTTGGCAGGGTTAGCACAGCTCAAGCAGCACTGGGTGATAAAGCAGCGGATCTGTTATGTCAAGAAGTGAACGCGACATTTTGCACGTTATTGCAGAAAGCTATATTGCAATCGCGAGTTTACTAAATTACGACTTGTATTATTTGTACATACATAAATCTGTATTACTTTATCATTGTAAAGCGACTTTCAATTTTCTAAGTTACTTTTTTTAATCGTATACAAATTTAAAATATCTTTGAAACATTTTGTAGCATTAATGGGACTATATTATTCGATCGTTCATCAGATGTGTACAAGATTATCAATTAATATTGTTTCTCTATATCTTATAAATACATCTTTTCTTATAATTATCATATATTATTTATATATATGAGGGTATTGCGTACATATTTATTTTGAATTTAAATGTAATTACAAAAAATTGTATATATATACTATATCCCTACGTCTCTTTTATCTTTATAGAGACAAAAGCAATTTCTATAATGAAAAAACAAATTAATATTTTCTATACTATTGTGAGATATATATATATACACATATACATATACATATGTAACAATAAAGAGAGGCATTTTCATATCCTTTAGCACATATTTACAAGATTTATTACATGTTAACACAGAGGATATACTTTCTACCTTTTTTTTTGTGTCTACAAGTTTGTCATGTTTTGAGCACTGTTACTTTTTTTTGTAAGTCATAACGCAAAAAAATTATGTAGACATTATTGTACATCTAAGCGTTCTTTTCGTGAAACAAATCATGTGGTTTTACATGAAGTATTTATATGCATGTCTTACACGACATAATCTACATAATATGGATGTATATTCAGTCGGACACTTATTTAGATCATGCATTTATTAATACATAAAAGCAAGAGCCTTATTCCAAGGAATTTAACATCAAGAGTTGCTTTAGCACTTTAGTTTGGCTTGTCTCTCTGATCTCGCCAGCTAAAAACATTTCGTCCACGACAGTGTATACCTAAAATTACAGTTGTCATAACATCATCAAATATACAGTTGAGTAATGATAAAGTAATAAAGTAAAACTATGTTAATGGATTCTTTACATTGGATGTGGCAATGCTTGTTATACAGCAAAACATAATGCAGTAGTCAATCTGTTTCTTAGTTGTAAGGTTATTGGCTACTATTATGTTATCTTGCTATATTGCAAGCATTTCTATGTCCAGTGTACAAGAGTCATAAGATAATGAAATTAATAATTCTCACAAATTTCATTCAACTTGTAAGGTTCAAAATGTGTCACTGGAGAAAGAAAAAAGTACCTTGTAAAAATTAAAGACTAAATCCAACTCGCATACATTGTGAAAGTATTCGTTCAATACCTCCACGAAATTATGTATCGCTTCCAAGTAACAGAGATTGTTGTCATTAACATCGACGCAGATGCAGAAATACAAGCCTGCGTATCGTCTGTATACTATCTTGAAATTGCGAAACTGGAATATATTTAATATTTAATTATATTGCATATAAACGTAAGAATGAATAATTGCATTATGTCAAGCCAACCTCGACAAAATTTGTATGCTTAGCATCTCTGACAGTAACCACAGCATGAACTTCCTCTATCAATTTCTGCTTTTCGTCATCGTCAAAATTCATGTACCACTTCGCTAACCTAGTCTTACCGGCCCTATTTTGTATAAGGATAAATCGTATCTATAAAGAACAAGCATTCAAAGCTTAATATACTTTTGTTATTTAGATATTGTTTAATCATTTGTATTAATTGTGAAAGTAAAATAATTATTAATGTATTTCTTTATTTTTCGATAGGTAAATTCTATAAATAAAGGTTATATTATAATCTATTTCGATTTTTTAATTATTAAATATCACATATTACAGCTGTTTATCAAAAAAGTAATTCAACCACCTGACAGAATAAAATGTCAATTACAGAATGTCAAGAAAAATTATACTTCTAGAGTGTGTATTCCTTTTATGTAATTTTTGTCGGTTGCAATAAAAACTATCAATTTCATTTGAAATTAAATATTTTTATACATACCATTTTAAAAATCGTTTTAGTACTTGATGAAATATCTTATCTAAATTTTAGTAAACATAAAATCCCATCAATTCCCCGCCTACCGATCACGAAGTAACGAGTTGGACTGAGTTGGACCATATACTTATAAAGCTGTGTTCGAAAATTCACTACCAGCGCTGAAAATCTACAGTTTACGTTACATATACTATACATTTTCAGCACTAGCAGAGATTTTGGAACACAGCCTAAGATTGACGGAGCATTCATATGAGTGTGGCTGATATTTCATGTGTCAGTCGACAAGGCTTTTCAAGCTTGTTGATTGGTTGCAGAACAGAAAGATCCGAGAATCTTCCTGTTGCAGCCAATCAATAGGCTTGAAAAGCCTTATCGATCAATACATGAAATATCAGACAGAAATTGAAGATTTGATAGAAAGAGAGAGAAATAGACACGACTCGTGACAGAAAGAAACCTGTGAGATGACATAAAGGGAGGGCCTTTTTCCTATAACCGCAAAACAGCTTTGCAACTGTTGTAAAATTCTCTAATATGATTGGTCTTGTCCTTAGTTCCTCATTGGATTTAAATGTATAAACCAATCACGTTCAAGAATTTTACAACAGTTTCAAAGCTGCTTTTTCTGCTGAACGCAGTCGTATTTCTTGTTCGTGAAAAGGCCAGCCATTACTTAAGGAAGCACAAAGCATGGAAATGTTCGATCCAGAAAATCAAAAAATATACACATTATATTTAAGTGTAGAAGATGATCGGTTCTTATTTAGACCGTCTTTAAATAATGTCTTAAGACGTTAATTTAGTAAAGTGCAGAATCAAAATAAAAATATGCATGTATAAATTTAACACACAATAGTAAAATATAGATAACAAGTGTTAATGAACATATATATATATATTATTTAATAGCTATATAAATACAATCGTAATGTTTAATAGCTATACAAATAACATTGTATTATTGACCGTTGAAAATTACAGCTTTCGTTAACGTGCGTCTCAAAAGATTTTTTTGTTTAGATATTGTGATGCATTTCCCTTCATAAAATAATAATTTTATTTCGAAGTGAAATGTTATTATTAATTTCTTTCTTTTCTTTGATCTTCTTCTTCTAATTTTATATAGCACTCGCCATCGAAATGACGACGATTCCGGCCAAACTCGGGTAGTAACTTCTTTTCTTTGATTTATGAAATTGAAATATATATATATATATATATATATATATATATATCAAGCATTTTGAAACTTAGATTTAATACTGTACGTGAATTAACGATATATCATCGAAGTACCGAGATTCGCCATTTCACTGGCGGAGGCACTTTTCATGTTGGTACGGCGTGAGAAAGCTACAACTAGCAGTCCATAGTTATAAAGGGTGTCTCAAAATGACCTGACATTTTAATTTATTAATAAAACATATTATTTATTTGAAAAGTACACATGTTTTTAGTTTAATATAAAGTACAAACATGGAGGTTATATGTGGAACACAATATCCGATAAATGGCCGCCTCGACTCTGTTTGCAAACGTTCATTCTTTTGACAAAATTTTCAATGACATTTTGGCATAATTGCGGACTAATTTCATTAATGGTACGTCTAATTTCTTCCTTCAACTCCGGAATGGTCTGTGGATCATTGGCATACACTTTTCCTTTCAGAAAACCCCAAAGAGAGAAGTCCAATGGCGTCAAATCGCACGATCTTGGTGGCCAATTCACATCGCCGCGGCGCGAAATAACACGACCATGAAACTTCGTCTTTGATATTTGTAGTGGATTTTCACAATTTCTATGCGTTGCTCGATCGTGTAATTCTCCATGACTAAACCTCAATACTTCCTGATGCCAGTTGTTAAAGATTAGTACGTTACGTTCGTTGCAAAAAAAATGGCGCGCAATTTAAAATGTCAGATCATTTTGAGACACCCTTTATAGTAAAAAATCTGAATATTCATTAACCATATAATTGTGTCCATATAATTTAATTTTAACACTAGATCGAACTGCTTGAATTGGTGATTCCATAATTAGTTCATCTTCTTCAGAAGAACTATCGCTGTTGCTTTCGTTCAAATTTAGTGACAATTTAGTGCGTTTGTCCATGGCATCTGTTTACACTACTGCCAGTCTACGGCAATGCCGTTCCGAAATACGACGTTACAGTAGCTACTGTACTGCTGGCAGTACCACAGTAATTTTGGACCACAGTAGATTTGGCGCTCGATGCGGTCGAAAGTTGCTGAACGTGAGAAGAACAGATGTATCTCGCTATCGCGCTCAGTCCAAGCCGTGCTGAGCCGAGTTTAGCCGAACGCAGGGTGCTCGAAGTGCTCGGACTCCAATGTACATACATCACTGCTCTCCAGCTCTTCTCAGCATTGTCCAACACAGTCGTTGACGTCGTTGACGACGTTGAAGTGCGTACGAGCTTATATCCTGTGTGATGTGACACGCTAAAGTAGCTTGGACGAGTCTGTCCTCTTGGAAACGATGCGTAACGGATTGGCGAGTTAGCCGCTAAAGTCGACTGCAGTCCTTCTCTGTCCCCTCCGTCTTGGGTGAGGGAACAGGCGGACAACAGACGGAAAGTGAAACGGATGGCGAGTGGGGCCTAGCGCGCAGTATGGGAATAATCGGTCGTACGGTGGCACGTAGTGGTGCTCCGATCCGTGGTGGAGTTTATGAGGAAGTAACAACGGCCCTCAGGTCGTTTGAGGCACAACACGATGATATAGTCTTTGCAGGTGATTTCACATCGTGAAAAAAAAAAAAGAAGAGGAAAAGAGAGAGAAGAGTGACCAGAGCAAGTATTCGTCATGTTCCACTATCTGCATCTCAGGAGTCGTTTTCTACAGACCCTCATCCTCGCACTGATCGGCCTGACCTTCTACGCGTATTACCGTACCACCGTATATGATGTTCGCCAGTACAGCTTACCACGAAACACTAGTAAGCATTATTATATTTATAAAATTCTTACATGGCTCTTTTTTTACATCGAAGAGATTATTAAAGCTACTGCTTCGGTTTTAAAGAAATAATAAATTTGACGATCAAAGAAACAAAATAAATAAATTAATTAAGAAGTAACAAATACTATTCATGCTCTGTTTCTTTGTTGATCAATTTACAAATTCAAGTTATAAATTATCTTATATTATCTTTTGTCTTTTTTTTTTTTTTTTTTTAATAAAATAAAGACGCTGTTTACCAATTTTGTTTAAATCAATGATCAATATTTTATAACATTTTGTAAAGCCAAACAATGATCAATGTTTTTCAATATTTCGGCACATTTTTTTTATCAGTTAATCGTTTTATCCAGAATTAATAAATTTCAGATTATTCTGCATACCAAGATGGCCTTCACGTTCACACGAATCTCAGTCAATCTAAAAACTCTAGCTCAGATAGCATGTCTCTAAGCCCATACGTAGCGCACAACTCTAGCAACAGCTCCTTAATTTTCACTACGTTGTCAACGTCCTCCAGCGTACAGTCTTTGTCCTCGTTGTCTTCCGTGAGCACATTGATCAACTCGAAGCAGAGGGTAAACGAGAAGCTTGAGATGGCAAGAGTTACCAATGTGACTAAGTCGGCGCCAATCGTAGTTCGCAATGATTCGGCACGCGCCATATACGAGGCTGGACACATCGTATCAATTCCTGAGCGTTGCCCGAATCTCGGCAAGGATATGGATTTAGTGATGATCGTGATGTCCGCGCCGACCCATCTAGAGGCGCGGACTGCGATTCGGCAGACCTGGGGGCACTTTGGCCAGCGTAGTGATATGAGTGTGCTCTTCATGCTCGGTACCACTCTTGATCCAAGAGTGGAGACGATCCTGCGTAAGGAACAAAACATGTATAACGACGTGATACGTGGTCGTTTCCTTGACTCCTATTCGAATCTTACTCTCAAAACCATTTCGACATTGGAGTGGGTAGACACCTATTGTTCTAAGGTGAAATATCTGCTAAAAACCGATGATGACATGTTCATCAATGTACCGCGGCTGTTAGCGTTCGTGTATAAACACGTAAAAGACCGTAATGTGATATTCGGTCGACTGGCCAGAAAGTGGAAGCCAATCCGGAACCGCAAGAGCAAATACTATGTGTCACAGGCACAATTCCAGCAGTCTGTGTTTCCAGACTTTACCACTGGTCCGGCATACCTGCTGTCGAGCGATACGGTGCGTCGTTTGTACGATGCCGCCCTAGACCAGACATATCTAAAGCTCGAGGATGTATTCACAACGGGCATCGTCGCGCACAGGCTCGGCATCAAGCGCTCGCACGCGAATGAATTTCTGAATAAACGGATACAATACACGGCCTGCAACATCCAACGCGGCATTAGCATACACATGGTCAAGTACAGTGAGCAGTTCGACCTCTGGAAAAAGCTGCTCGACGGTAAGAGTAAGTGTAAGTGATAACCGGCAAGGTTGAGAGTGACGAAGGTCCTACACTTGACCCTGGTGAACCAAGTGCGATCGTTACCGCCTTAATGCAATTCGAGTGTCGGTTGCACGTCGACCGGCTAACGCGATATCAACCGTTTCACTGATGACCTCACACACGTACACATATAGCCGCGTGCGCACACATATACATACATGCGTTCGGTTCAAGTGCGAGTAAGAGGCAGGCACATATGGAGATTATAGAGAAATAGTGTACCGCAAAACGGCGTAGAGAATTTCGCCGATTAAATTTTTACACGATCACATTATCAAATTAGGCTTTTCTTTACAGAGGTCGAATGAAAGTAATAATTTTTATCCCTGGAGGAGGATCTCCGGGTCTGGAGGACAGAATTTACTATTTTATACATCTATATCTTTTACTATTTTATTATACATCTCTCTGAATTCCAAAGAAATATTTTTATTATCGTAGAATTAATTTTGTAAGATATTTCGTGTAATGTATAGAAATTTTATTTTTTCGAGAAGGGAGAGAGGATCTCCTACGCGTGAGATAGGCATAAATGGTTCTATAGTTTTGTCGACCTCTAGCTAGCCTCTTTTTATGTTTCGATGCTAATGATTGTTTTCCCATAAATAATGATCGTCCGCGTTTTCGTTGCACGTTTAGTAGCAAATGAGCGTAATTTTCCTATATTACACCGGCGGCATCCCCCATTTGATATACTAAACA